CCCCCCAAAAAACCCCTCCTCCCACCCGGGAGGGGCTTTTTATCTCGCCCCCCGGCCCCCGGTTCCTCCCGGACCCCATTGGTCCCCCCGCCCCGCCCCCTTTTTCCCGGGGTGCTCGACCCCTCCGGGGCCCGGATAAACTTTTTTTTAGGGGGGGCCCCCCCTTTTTTTTTAAAGGGGCGGCAAAATTCGGCTCCGAACCCACATGCGGCTTTTTGGCCCCCTTGAGTGTGGCTCTCCCCAAAATACCAACTTCTGCGCATGGGCCACGAAGTTTCAATCGCACTGTACGTGAACGCCCGCATGTGGTATTTTGTGGAAGAGCCACACTCAAGGGGCCAAAGAGTCGCATGTGGCTCACGAGCCGCAGTTTGCCGACCACTGTCTTAGACCAATGTCGTTCCGTCCATCCATCTATTAATTTCTCCATCCACCACCCATCCGTCATCCAACCATCCATTAATAATGGCCCCCAAGCACCTGTCTGCCAGTAACGGTCTCCTGTGCTGAGACGTGGCAGGGCCCCCGGTTCTCATCTCCATCTCTCCCTAAAACCTCTCGGTTAAGGCCGACAGGTCCCTCTTCCCTGTCAAGTCTGAGATCCCCTCCCCAGTTCCTGTTGTACCTTAAGGTTTTGCAGGATGCAACACAGAGGTGGATCCTCTTTCCAGTGACTCTTCCCCTGGGTACCTGAGACCTCTCACTCTTTTCCTCCTCTGGCTTCCCTTTCTTTATGGCCCATACATGGCCACTGACCCATTCTTTGCCATCTCACACTGTGGATTCCCACCACCACCTGTATAGTGAGGCTCTAGTCCAGTGGTTCTCAACCTCCTGGCCCTTTAAGTACAGTTCCTCATGTTGTGACCCAACCATAAAATTATTTTCGTTGCTACTTCATAACTGTAATGTTGCTACTGTTATGAATCGTAATGTAAATATCTAATATGCAGGATGGTCTTAGGCGACCCCTGTGAAAGGGTCGTTCGACCGCCAAAGGGGTCGCGACCCACAGGTTGAGAACCACTGCTCTAGTCTATCCAGCTCCAAGCCTTCTCTCTCCACGGCTCTGCCTAAATTGCCCAGTGAGCGTCTTCAGCTGGATGGCCCACAGGAATCGCAACTCACCACATCCAACTGAGGCTGGCCACCCTTCTCCCAACCCAGTTCTTTTCTGTCTTCACCTGGTCACGCGTGATCATGAGTGTTCTCATCCCCAGGCAGGAAGTCTGTGTTCTTAAATTCAGCATCTAAATATTCCCTTTTAAAGTTAAAACTAGAAGCCCCAGATTTTGTTTTGCTGATTTTAACTTCCCACTCATACAAAATGTGGCATTGAGTTGGGCCTTATTGGTTGCAAGCATTTCTGCATTTTCACCTTAGAAGCTGGTCCAGTCAGCAGTGGTTGGTTTTGTGATGCAAATATAAGATTTTTTTGCATTAATTTTTTATTGTTTTAAAATTGCATATATAACACAATTAAGCAATATAGAAGTGCACTTTAAAAAGTACACCTAATATTTATCTATCTATATAGTGTCATTTTCTTTCTTTATTGTGGTAAAATAAACATAGCATAAAATTTCCCACTTTAACTCATTCTATGAGGCTGGTATTACCCTAATACCAAAAGCAGAGCAAGGTATTATAAGAAAAGAAAACTAAAGACATATCTCTCATGAATAAAGATGCAAAAATCCTCAAAAAAATATTTACAAATCAAATCCAACAATGTATAAAAAGAATTATGTACCATGATCAAGTGGGATTTATCTCAGGCATGCAAGACTGGTTCAACATTTGAAAATCAATTAATGTAATCTATCACATCAACAGGCTAAAGAAGAAAAATTACATGACTATGTTACTAGATGCAGAAAAAACAGTTGACAAAATTCAACACCCATTCATGATAAAAACTCTCACAGGAGAACTTACTTAACTTGCTAAAAGATATCTACAAAAAACCTATAGCTAGCCTTGGCTGAGTAGGTCAGCTGGTTAGAGCATCACCCCAATACAGCAACGTGTAGGTTCGATCCCCAGTGAGTGCACATACAAGATAACCAATGAATGCATAAATAAGTGGAACAACAAGTCAAAGTTTATCTCTCTCTCTCTCTCTCTCTCCCTAAAAATCAATTAAAAAACAAACAAACAAACCTATAGCTAACATCATAATTAATGGGAGAAACTTGAAGCTTTCCTGCTAAGGTCATTAACAAGGTAAAGATGTTTCTTCTCACCACTGCTTTTCAATATTGTATTGAAAATTGAAGAGCAGTGGCTAATGCAATAAAATAGCGAAATAAAAGGTATACAAATTTTGAGAGAAGAAATAAATGGATAATGTGATTGTGTAGAAAATCCAAAAGAATTGACACACACACAAAAAAAAATCCAGTTGTGCTCAGAGGGGAGATAGTTGCCCTGTGACCGGATTCTGGTCAAGCGCAGGTTCCTGGTGACTCTGTTGCAGGTTTGATCCCTGGCCCGGTTTGGGGCACATGCGGGAGGCAACCAAGCAATGTGTCTCTCTCACATCTATGTTTCTCTCTCTCTCCTCCTCCTCCCCCCGAAGCCTCCTCCCTCCTTTCCACGTTCTCTAAAATCAAAAGAAAAAAAATCCTCAGGTAGGATAGAAAAACACAC